AGGTTTGCAGTTACCCTAGTAGTGGTCTAGGGCGCTGAACTCTGCTCGTTATTGTCAACAAAATAAAAAGGGGACCCGCTGCATCACTCCGCCTACCTCGTTAGGTTTATTAGGGAGCCAGAAAAAAAAGGTCGCTACTGGTCGCACTCTAACTAATCTGCTAATCCACTGGCGGCTTCTACCTTTCTACAATTTTCGCCCTTTTCTTTTCCCAAATTTCCCTTCGACAACTTCGACCTTGTCGACAAACCAAAAACTTCTTTCTACGATCGAGCTTCTGTCTTAATCGACTTCGGCGAGACGTCCTTTTGCTCCGAGATTTCTATTTTACTCTCAACCCACCTGACCGTTCGTCATTTTTCAACTACTCATCAACGAGCAACCCGCAATCCGTCTTGGTCTCTTTTTTTCACTACAATCCTTTACTTATCCCAACATTAATACTTAAAAAATCCAACCGCCAGAAGGGATAGGGTGTTGCGCAAACATCATCATGGCGGAAAACAGTGATATCAACACTGTTCTCAGCAACTCGCTGTCTCCTGGTAAGTATTCAAATCCCACCGGTGCCTCGCGTGTCTGTCTATACACGTCATATTTTAGCCGTCTCCTTGCTAACCTTCCTTCCTCCTCTTAGACGCAGCGACGCGAACTGGCGCTGAGCAACAGCTCATCCAAGCTGCTGAGACCAATTTTGTAAGTTGCCATTGACGTGCTTGAATTTAACCCCGACTGCAGGTAGCTAACATTTGCCTTCTAGCCCCTGTATCTGGCAACGCTAGTCCAGTCGCTGGCAGACGAGAATGCTCCGGGTAACATCCGAGTCGCCGCGGGTCTCGCCTTGAAGAACGCTTTCAGCGCCCGCGAATTCGAACGCCAGCAACAGCTACAAGCCAAATGGCTACAACAGACCGACCAAGATACCAAGAATCGCGTCAAGGAGCTGGCCATCCAGACCCTTGCATCCACCAACGCGCAGGCTGGCCAGGCTGCCGCCCAGGTCATCTCTTCTATTGCTACCATTGAGCTTCCCAGAAACCAATGGCCCACTCTCCTACAGGTCTTGGTGGAGAACGTCAGCTCGGGGGCACCCCATCAGAAGCAGGCTTCCCTGACATGTATAGGTTATATCTGCGAGAGTCAGGATCCCGAGCTGCGAAGTGCCCTAGTCAGCCATTCCAATGCCATCCTCACAGCAGTAGTCCAAGGTGCGCGCAAGGAAGAGACGAACGGGGAAGTGCGTCTTTCTGCTATCTCGGCACTTGGCGACTCCCTAGAATTCGTTGGAAACAACTTCAAGCATGAGGGTGAACGAAACTACATCATGCAGGTTGTTTGCGAGGCTACCCAGGCCGAAGACACGCGCATACAACAAGGAGCCTTCGGCTGCCTAAACCGCATAATGGCTCTCTACTACGAGAACATGCGCTACTACATGGAGAAGGCTCTATTCGGTCTGACCATTCTAGGCATGAAGAATGAGGACGAAGATGTCGCAAAGCTTGCCGTGGAATTCTGGAGTACCGTGTGCGAGGAGGAGGCAAATATAGAAGAGGACAACGCTCAGGTATGTCGTCATGATCTCCCTAGGCTCGCTCATATTCTAACAAATTCATTGCAGGTTGAAAGTGCTGACCAGATGCGCCCCTTCTACAACTTTGCCCGAGTCGCGACGACCGAGGTTGTGCCTACTTTGTTGCAACTTCTTACGAAGCAGGACGAGGACGCCACAGACGAAGAATACAATCTTTCACGCGCTGCATACCAATGTCTCTCGCTGTATGCCTCAGCCGTTGGTGCCAACATTATCCCACCTGTTATCCAGTTCGTTGAAGCGCACCTCCGGTCCGAAGACTGGCACTACCGAGAAGCTGCAGTCGCGGCTTTCGGCGCCATCATGGAAGGACCCGAGGAGAAGGTGCTCGATCCTATCGTCAAGCAGGCTCTACCTATCCTGATTAGCATGATGGAGGACAGCTCTACTTTCGTCAAGGACTCGACGGCCTACGCCCTAGGTCGTATCACCGAGAACTGTTCGCAAGCTATCGATCCCAACACGCATCTAGATCCCTTGGTTCGATCGTTGTTTGCTGGTGTCCACGACATCAAGATGGCAGCATCCTGCTGCTGGGCACTGATCAACTTGGCGGAACGCTTCTCTGGCGATTTTGATGCCACTCAGAACCCGCTGACGCCTCACTTCAACCAGAGCGTTCAGACTATCCTCGAAGTGACCGCGCAACCTGGAACAGAGACATCGGTTCGCACTACTTCCTACGAGGTTCTTAGTGCCTTTGTCCAGCATGCCGCGACGGAGAGTTTCCCGGCCATCGCCCAGTTGTCCGACGTCATTATCAAGCGACTTGAAGAGACTCTAGCCATGCAGAGCCAGGTAGTCAGCATAGAGGACAAGATCGCATTTGAAGAGATGCAGACGAGCCTGAACACTGTTCTCCAGGCTATCATCCAACGACTGGAGAAGGAGATCTCGCCACTGGGCGACAGGATCATGCATGTCTTACTCCGCATCCTCGAGCTCACCGGTCCCAAGTCTAGCGTTCCCGAATCCGTTTTCTCTACGATTAGTGGTCTATCGAATGCCATGGAGGAGGACTTCGCTAAATACATGGATGCTTTCTCTCCATTCCTCTACAACGCCCTCGGAAATCAGGAAGAGCCCGGTCTATGCTCCATTGCTATTGGCCTGGTGAGCGACATAACTCGTTCATTGGGCGAACGCAGCCAGCCGTACTGCGACAACTTTATGAACTATCTCTTGAACAATCTTAGGGTTCGTTCTTTATTTCAGTATTTCCTAGCCATCTTTGTTATTTCTATGTCTTTTGGATTCTAGGAAGTCACATCTAACTAATCAGGCACAGAGCTCGACCCTGTCGAACCAATTTAAGCCTGCGATCTTGCAGTGCTTCGGCGACATTGCGAACGCCATCGGCGGCCACTTCGAGACTTACCTGTCAGTCGTTGCTCAGGTCCTGCAGCAAGCTGCGACCGTGAATGCTGCACCTGACGGTCCTTACGAGCTCTATGACTATGTCATCTCCCTGCGAGAGGGTATCATGGACGCCTGGAGCGGCATTATTGGTGCAATGAAGCTGAGCGGCAAGAGTAAGTGGCCTTCCGACATTCCTAGAATATATCCATACTAACAGTTGAGTAGCCCAAGTTCTCCAGCCTTATGTTCAGAGCATTTTCCACCTGCTGCAACTTATCTCCCAAGATCTGAACCGCAGCGAGGCTCTCATGCGATCATCCATGGGAGTGATTGGGTAAGAGCACCAACTGCCGCTTTGCAAACGTTTGTGCTAACTAATGTAACAGTGATCTTGCCGATGCATTCCCCAACGGTGAACTACTCGAGGCGTTCAGACAGGACTGGGTTACCGCCATGATTAGAGAGACTAGGGGCAACCGCGAGTTCCAGCCCCGCACTATCGAGACAGCTCGATGGGCCCGCGAACAGGTGAAGCGACAACTCGGCGGAGCATCATCTGTCATGCAGCAGACTTGAGCCTGATACCTAACTATTTCCGCCACCCCCGCCAACATAATTCATGCAAATGCACAACCCCCCACTCCCCGGCATTCGACCCTCCCGACGAGCAAGTTGGGCTCGAGCTCGAGTCTAACCTCGCATACAAAGTTCGGAGGTGAACCCAGCAGCATCATACCCCCCCCTCCCTTCACACAGCATCGGAATTTCCCTGTCCAGCACCAACACTGCACCGACCCCTAACGAGCAATCCCATATGTATATAGAATCACGCACCATTCACCCTAGTAATCCAATACCCCTTCCCCCCAAGCACAAGCCATCGAAATTCCCGTCACAACACAACTTTAACCCAATCATACCGCCACATTTGCTGAGTTTTCCTTCGGTTTGGACTGCAAAGCCACAACGGAGATACGTCTAGTCCCTTTAGAGAGAAGATCACGTCATGTACGCCCATATGGGCCACGAAGTCATGTAAGGAAGGAAGGAAAAGATAGAGCATGTATTCCAGGAGGGGGCATGAGGCCTGATACATACTCCGTCAAGGTTTTAGTCTAATTCAAGTGAATAGACATTCACATACCTGTCGGAGGTTCCACTTGACCCTGAGAGGTCTGTTCAGTGGGATCGAGAGGATGGAGGGCTTTGCTAGGACGATCAACTTGATAACCCTACGGAAGCGAGCAGCCAAAAACTTGTCGTCCCTAGTATCGGCAAACGCAAAACAGAAGTCTTGTCGTATCCATTGATACTAGACTCTCTGGCTCGTCTTTTCCCACCAACATGGGGAGTTATCGACTAGCATAGTTCGGTAGTTGCGCTGATATCTAAAAAGAAATAGAGGCCCTTTCTACCCGCATATATTCTGATATATCCTAACCCTGTCGTTGTGATATGCGGTGTCCGCGTGAGAATTACTACCCCATGGCTACCTGGGTTTGTATATGTTTACCCGACCTGGGAATCCCGTATCAAGTTGACGAACGGGAATTACAAGGATGCCTCAGCTCATCGTGATGGTCATACACGCTCTCATTAGGTAGGTATTAACCAAGCAAACGTCAAGTGATTCATCCTTGATCTTATAAATCTATTTTTTATATTAAATTCTTCGCCTTTTAAAAATGAAATGGCTTTGATTCTATATTGAAACAATTTTATTTTGTTTTGACATCAGTACAGCGCTTGGTTCAATTACCTGCATCCAGGTAGCACCCCTCTACCTGTATTTCCCCTTTCCCATTCAGTACGCCCCTGACAAGCACTGCTACCCTAAGATTAGCACTTATCACATACTCGTCTCCCACCACACTAATAACGACTTCCACTCATCTGCTTGCAAAGCCCACGCACCTAGCTAGATATTAATGCCCTAGCCCTAACTAAATCTAGGTAGGTAGGTAATACGATGCGAATCCACTTTCACGTATCTATCCAATGGAACGGCTTTTGGTATATATGGGATTGTAAGTGACAATTGGAACAAGGCGCAGTGGCGGAGTGGTCTAACGCGCAAGACTAGAATGTCTGGAGTCTTTTCGAGACTTCGGGGATCTGCGATCTTGTTCCTTCGGGAGCGTCTGTTCGAATCAGGCCTGCGTCGTATTTTTTTTCTTTTCTTTTGGAGTCGTACCGTGTGTAGTAATCTTATTATTTTATTTACTTTTTTTTGCTCTTGTGCCTTACGTCGTGTTTCTACTGATCAGCTGAGTCTAAATCAAGTCCTGCTGTCGATCACTCTCGGTGAACATTGTCACTTTAATATTTCACATACTATCCCAAATTAGATGTAGATTCACAGCACCTTATATATTCTTGAGAATTCATAGATACCATGAGCTGCAGATATCCCCAATGACAAATACTTTATAAGAAGAGTAGATCGATACAGTACCTAGATACAGTATATAACGCATCCAACCCAATCAATCTCTTTTCCAATTCCCGTCCCAGTACCATAGCCAGCCAGCTATTATCCTACCAATCCATCCATCTCTCTCCATCCTAGATCCCAAGATAATTCCCAGCAGATGAAAAAACAAATAGGTATAATGATATATATATATAGCACACACTCTGTAAATCCATCCATACATAATCCATTTTTTCCAATCCCAATTCCCAATTCCAAGCCCGAAAAAAACATCGTTAAGGTAGGTAGGCAGATACATACATACATACATACAGTATAGAGACGCTCAACAGCGAAGCGACCAAGGGATTGATTGCCTTATCCCTAGCAGCAAGCACATGGCCTTGAATGTCTAGGGCAGATAGCTAGGTATCTCGTAAGAGTTCCCATAAAGCACCCCCGTGGCGGCGGCGGCATCGCCAGCGCTCCACTGGCCGCCCGCGCCGTCGACCAGCATCTGCAGGTTACTGTCGAACCCGTCGTTCAGCACCGCCCCCGCCGCCGCCGATGAGTACTCGGGGTAGTACGGCGCGGCCTGGGATTGGTACGGGTCCATCGATGTCGGATGCGACGCCTCGGCTAGCATGTCGAGGCCTGCGTTGGAGTAGATTTGTTGCTGCTGCTGCTGCTGCTGGGGGTAGGCGTGTTGTTGTTGTTGTTGTTGTTGTTGTTGTTGTTGTTGTTGTTGTTGTTGTTGTTGTTGTTGTTGGTGATGCTGTTGGTGCTGGTGCTGGTGTTGATTTTGGTGTAGGTGAGGCGGCGGTTGCGGTTGTGGTTGTTGCTGTTGTTGCGCTATATACGGGGTCTGCGCAGACAGCGGTGGGAGTTGGACGAAACTTGGTTGCGTCTGCTGCAGAGGCGCGAGTCTGTGCGGTTGCGGCTCGGGGGCTCTGCTTATCACGTGGTGTCCTCCTCGGTCTTCTGCGTGTGTTGTGGGTGGCGTGTACCGAAGCGGGCTGAAGTGGATGGATTCGGATTGCGGACATGTTGTCGTTGTCTTGGGGTGCATGACGCTCAGGGCGTGTGGTTCGGGTTCTTTCTGTGGTGGAGGTTAGTTAGATGGAACTTGGGTTGCTGACAGGTTTTTTCGCTTACTCCGTCCGTCATCGTGCCGGCTTGGAACAAGATTCTCTTTGGGTTTGAATCCTCGTACCATTTTTCCAGCCCGTTGCACCATGTCTCTGCGAGCGGCCACGCCTTTTGGCATTCTCGCAATACGGTTACGATGCGGGTATACATGGCCCGGCCTTCGGCTTGTATCGTCTCTAGGCTTTGTCCCGCGTGGTGGACGTCGACTGAGAGGCTTAGTTAGTGACTCGTTGCGTGTCATCTTTTCGAGGGATCTTACGTTGGGGGAATTTGCAGAGATACGAAGCCAACAGCCCGCAGCCGTAGATGATGAACCCCTATACACTAACGTTAATTGATTCGCTCTGTCGATAGGTGTTCTTTGCTTATGTGTACTTACAGCCATCTGCGAACCAACTCGTCCAATATCAACACCGTCCTCGTAATGAGCCTCGATCTGAGAGTACAGTATCCTGACATTACTGAACAACTCCTTGGCCATGTTCTTGTAGAATAAAACCTTGGGATTCGACGGGTTCCCCTGAGCATGTTGAATCATACTGGAGCGGAAGTATTAGCACACCTCACACCTTAGATTTTGGGTCGGGCATCGCCTACTCCTCCATATACTCCTTGCGCAGAACAATGTTGCAGAGCCGAAGACAGCCAGTCTGGCCGAGGTACGCCTACATCCCCAACGTCAGAAAAAAAGATACGACATCAAAAAAACGCAGGCAAAAGTTCGAGCAATACGTCTCTACCCACCAAGTCTTCCGCGTAGTTTCTATACCCGCTCAGCACGACCTTGTGGAACCGATGCTCGTCCGGCAGATTCGTCTCGAACTCCAAGAGCCGCCCCCGCAGCTCGGCGTACGAGCTCGCGCTGTCGTCAGGCCGCCCGCACCTCTTGTTGAAGAGGAGTCGCCGCGCGATGATGCCCCAGAGGTTGTGCACCTGCATCAGAGACGCGAAGAGGGACCTGGGCTTCAGCGTCGCCAGGTCCGGGTCTCGGATCGCGGGCGGCGTCCCCACGAGAGCCGCCCGTCTGTCGGGGATCTTGCCGGCCTCGAACTCTTGCTCGTCGCTGGGCAGGAGGGCGGTTATGTCGCCGGGTGCGAGAGACACGGGCTTGTAAGGGCCGGAATGGAGGTTGTCTTGGCCTGTGTGATCTGGTTAGGAGAATGGAAGTTGGATTCTTTTAGGCTTCACATACTATGTAGCATCCACTGTTGGCTCGAAAATTGAAATATTAGCCACCAGACAAAGTTGGAGTATATACTAAAAGAATAGACAGGGGTTGTTGGTACGATAGTTCATCATGGTATAAGAGCATCTGGGTAATAACTCACAAACGTGCGCCGAGCAGACTCTGCCCGTACTCGGTGTTCTACAGGGGAATGCGACGTAATCGGACTATACGCTTCCTCTCGATGCAGCCGCATCAAAGCAGCCATCCTAAACGCAATACCCGCGCTGATCTTGTAACAACGTGAGTAAACTTCACCCAAAAGCTACTTTCTCGGGACGTCATCTTACGTAGCTTGTATTGGATTTACCGCTTCCCTGCTCTGCGATGCTCAGCAGGTAGAAGGCTTGGCATCTTTCGAGTGTGGGCTGCTGGTAGAGCTCGCGAACAGCAAGACATTGCGCCTTGTGCATGAACTCGGTGGCCGCCTTGAGCCCATCGCCGTAAGCTTCTATCAAGGCCTTGTTGAACCTAGCGGAGATTGCGAGGATGCTCAGCAAGAGGAATACGCTGACTGATGCAGGGTTATCCTGAACCTGCTTGGGGAACCTCTTCTTCGGGATGAAACCCAGCTGGAAGTAGTTTCTCGTAAAGGTGTTGATTCCGTCGACAATGATACCGACGTCTGGTAACAGACTCCAGTCATTTTCGAGCTTTGGAGGTTTATAGTCAGCAATAACGTTACGTGTGACGCCTGGAGAAGTAGACGTCTCTTTCTTGACCTGGACGATGTCGCTTTTGAGTCTCCTGTCGGCTCTCAGGCGTGGGTGTCGAAATTGCCGGTCCTGGTCTGTATCTCCACGTGTAGGAAAGGTGCTAAATGATATATAAGCTTAGGATGCTTTTGGGAGAGGTTAATTCCAAGGGTTCAAGTACCATTCTTCAGGAACGTTTGCTTCCAAGCAAGACTTGCAAGGGGGCGCCTTGTCATGAATGCACTTGCTGCGCATACGTCGACATCTACATTGGTCCTCCGAATTAGCCGTGGAATAACGTAATTCGCAGTGGTATCATAGCATACGTACCTTCTACACGCAATAGGAGCGCGACGCTTGATAGGCGGTGCGTTGGGATCCGAATTGGCGTCCGTGGTAGTAGTTGGCGGTGGGGACAGAGAAGAGGCGGACTTCGTCTCGGAATCTGGCATCCTGCTTGGCGGGATGGGGCGCGATTTAGGGCGTCGGACGGCTCGACTCCAGAGTGACACAGCAGTCCACTAGCTGTCCTCTTAGCTCTCTCTGTCCAACCCCCGTAAGGCGAGGACTGCGTCGCCGACGAACTAACGAACTAGTCTAGTCCGTCCTACTAGTCCTCGCTACGAATCCGGGGCCGTGGTAATTCGATCAGATACCCAGTAGTATCGGTCGAAGATGTCGAGTTGTAACCGTGCTGCGATTGCATTTGCAAGCGAACTTGAAGTTGTAAATTATCAGGAGAGTTAAAGAGACTATATCAAATAGGTAGATATATATAAAAATAGGATTATATATTGTATTAGGTATATATAAGAAAGATAATATAGTAGAAATGATCTTGGTTGGAAGCACCCAGCCTTACAGGCTTATGAATCCAATGGATCTGGGGTCACTAGGAGGGAGAGAGAAGAAAAAGAGGGCGAGTTCATTCGCAGGCATCTCTCTTTCTGATACCACCTCATCGACGCACCCTAGCCTAGCTCAGCCTAGCCCTGGCTGTTTAGAGATACATAAGCGAGAGCGGGAAAGGCCAATGTCACATTGCGGTTGATCAATCAGGTGCGGGTACGGCAGAAAAAGAGAGCAGCAGTTTATGTGCAGATGTGGTAGCGATCGATGGACAGATGGCCTGGAACTTGACATTAGCGTATGACAAACCACAGCTCCAGCTTATAGATACCTACTGTCTTCCCCCCCTTACTACAATGTATGTATACCTACCTGCACGTGAAGGATTTAGCAAGAAACCCGGAGTCGAATCGGGGGGAGAGAGAGGCCAAGGGATTCGGGCCGTCCTATCTTTTCCGTCGGAAAGGATCCGGGAAATCCAATTCCTGGGGAAAACTTCCGCGGGCTTGCACGTGCATGTCAATAGAATAGTATATGCATGCTCACACGGTCTATTTACACTTTCTATCTTACCTAAAATACATGTATGTACCAGATTGCAAGATCGGGAGAAGAAACGCCAAACCGGCGAGACGGACCCCAGTCATACCAAGTAGACAAAAAAAAAAGTTGGCAGGTTGAGAGGGAGAAAGTCCGTGCTGTGCATGGCTGGTGTTGAAGAAACCAACAGCGCCGTAAAAAAGAAATTCGTAAATGCCCCACGTAGATCAAAGGTTGCAAAGACGGTGACAAAAGGACAATGTTTCGACTTCAGCTATAAAGACAATGATGCT